AGATGTTTACTTGTGCTTTACTGACTATGTATCCAAACTATGGATAACACTGTTAAGAATAAGCATCCAGAACATTTAATTGTGCTCATGAGGAACTGCACATAGACCAAGAAGCAGTTGGTAAAACAGAACAAGGGGATACTGAATGGTTTAAAATCAGGAGGTGTGTGCCAGGGTTGCATACTTTCACCATACTGTTGGTGATAGTTACAGTTTACTGTCAACTTGACTGGGCCTGGGTTCCCGGTGGTTTGGCAGTTGAGATGTGGTTATCCTCATGGTGAGATCTTACACAGTGTAGTTAACGCTATGATGATTGCCTATGAGCAGGCATAGTTAACTCTATGATGATTGGCTATGAGTATCCAATCAATTGAAAGGATACTTTCTTGGGGGTGTGGCCTACTTCCAATATAATGGACACTTACACAAAGCTTGCTTGTTTTCTGCTGGGTCTGGATCTTGCATCTGGCTTGTCTTTCAACCTCTACTTCTTAGACTTGAGCTAGTGGTCTGCTTTATTATCTGCCTATCTGTCTGCCTGCTGATCTTGGTCCATCTGACCCAAACTTGGGACTCTTCCACCTCTACAGCTGTGAGCCATTTCCTTGATATAAATTCCTCTTTATGTATAGACATATGTAACTTTCACTGTTTTGCTTCTCTAGAGAACCCAGCCTATACCATCTCTATACACTATACAATCAGTATGCTGAGAAAAGAATCCAAGAAACTAGATTATAAGAAGAATGTGGTATCAGGATAGGAGGAAGACTCATTAACAACTTGCAATATGCATATGATACAACCTTGCTTATTGACAGCAAAGAGGACTTATGAAGATCAAAGACTACAGCCTTCGGTATGGATTGCACCTCAATGTAAAGAAAACAAAAATCTTCACACCTGGACCAGTAAAGAGCATTATGACATATGGAGAAAGGATTGAAGTTGTCAAAGACTTCATTTTGTTTGGATCCACAATCAACACTCATGGAAGCAGCAGTCAAGCTATCAAATGATATATTGCATTAGCTATATCTGCTGCCCAAGACTTCTTTAAAGTGTTTAAGAGCAAAGAGAAGGTTCCCTGACCTAAGTCATCGTATTTTGAAATGCCTCATATGTGGGAGAAAGTTGGACAGTGAATAAGGAAGACCATAGAACTGATGCATTTGAATTATGTTGTTGGAGAAGAGTATGAAAAGTATTATGGACTCTCCAAAGTACAAACAACTCTGACTGGAAGAAGTACAACCAGAATCCTTCTTAGAAGCCAGGATGGCGAGACTTCATCTCTCACCCTTTGCACATGTTATCAGGCAGGACCAGTCCTTGGAGGACATCATGCTTGTTAAAGTGGAAGGTCAACAAAAACGAGGAAGACCCCCAACTAGATGGATTGGCACAGTGGCAGCAGCAATGGGTTCAAATGTAACAAAAATTATGAGCATGTGTAGGACCAGCCAGTGTTTCATTCTGTGCATAGAGTTGCTATGAATCAGAACCAACTCAACAGCAATATATGCCTAGCAGCTGCAGCAGACTAGTCACTTCTCCTTCTTGGAGTTCAGTAGCCAAGCTCTCAGGGCTGACACATGAATGAGTGGTGAGAGAGGTCATGTGTTGAGCGCCATCTTGGATTCCCAGACCCCAGCCAAGGGCTCCCCCACATGGAGCTGTCAATGCACTGAACAAGGGTCAATCCATGGAATCAGGTGAAAGAAGCCATCAGCACCGAGTCCTGGGGCAGCTTGTCAGCCACAGCAAAGGGAGTCACACCAGGAATGTCAATGGCTCTGGTAGCCTTGGTTCCATCACTACATGATCATTTTATTTCATTAGCATACACACTAATCACTTGCATACAATACTTTATAGATACTAAATGCTTCATAATTTTAAACCATGCCAAAAGAAACAATATAAATGAAACGACATGCAAAAATGTCCCTGCCTAGTTTTGATTTGTGTTTTCTGTGTAACTGTGATTAAACAGCTCTTCATGTGCAAACACTGAACCATTTGTATAGCTTTTCCATGGACTGCACATTCGGCACCCATTTATCTACTCGGCTGTTCATTTTACATGATTTATAAGAGCTTTGCATGCTAAGGAAAATTGCCCTTTTTATACTTTGCTTAAAAATATCTCCCTAGATTTGACACTTATGTCTTAGATTTATTGGACTTTACTGTATATAAATTCTAACTTTTCATAATCCAAATTATTCATGGTGGATAGCATGCTTAGAAAGATGCCCTGATGGTACAGTGGTTAAGTGCTAGGCTGCTAACTGAAAGGTCAGTGGTTCAAACCCACCAGTTGCTCCGTGGGAGAAAATGTAGCAGTCTGCTTCTGCAAAGACTTACAACCCTGGAAACCCTATTGGGGCAGTTCTACTCTGTCCTAGGACATAACAGACATTGTACTTGCCAAGTGTTCAAAAGCAAAGATGTCAGTTTCAGTACTAAGATGCATCTGACCCAAGCCATAGTATTTCCAATAACCTCATATGGATGCGAAAGCTGGACAGTTGAATAAGGAAAACCGTAGAAGAATTGATGTTTTGAGTTATGGTGTTAAAGGAGAATATTAAAAGTACCATGGGCTGCCAAAAGAACCAACAGATCTGTGTTGAAAGAAGTGCAGCCAGAGTGCTCCTTGAAGGCCAGGATGGCCAAACTTCCTCTCTCATACTTCGGACATATTGTCAGGAGGGACCAGTCACTGGAGAAGGATATCATGTTTGGTAAGGTGGAGGGTCAGAGAAAAAAGGAAGACCCTCAGCAAGATGGACTGGCATGGTGAAAATAATTGTGAGATTGGCCCAGGACTGGGCAGTGTTTCCGACTCTATGGCCTCTAACAACATAGGGCAGTTCTATTCTGTCCTATAGTGTTGCAGAGTCAGAATTAACGCCACAGTAACAGGTCCTTTCCTCTTTTCAGAAATTACCTGGTTTTTCTGCCATATTTACCTTCCCCAAAACCTAACATAAAGTTGAAACCAAACAAAAAAGTCCTGTTGGTCTTTTGTGATTGGACTGCATTTAGATTGGCTAATATTGGTATGGTGCTATAGGATAAGCACTGGACTGCTATCCACAAGGTCAGTGATTCAAACCCATCAGCTGCTTCTTGGAAACCCTGCACAGGGCACTATGAGTTCGAACCTAGTGAACAGCACTTAATAAAAACGTCTAACTTAATTAACTCAATTAACTTAAAGGTTGGTGGTTCAAACCCACCCACAGCAGCACCTCAGAAGGTCTAGTGAGGTGCTTCTGTAAAGATTACAGCCAAGAAACCCCTATGGGCAGTACTACTGTGTTACACACGGGGCCCATCAGTCAGTTTGGTTTGGGGTTTAATAAGGCAACTGATTGTCTTTATATGTAAAACCAAGGTGTGTCCTTGCACTTGACCTAGTCTCTTCTGTTCTTCCCAGGGTACTGAAAGTGAACATTCCTGAAGGGGCAGGTGCAAGTTCACACCCCAATCCCATCCTGTTTCTGGGGTCCACCTCAACCAAGCTGCTAGGCTGCTCCCTGCTATCCCCAGTAGACTGTGGCCTTCATGCCAAACCGCAGTCCATTTGCACCAAGAATGGTTATTAACTGCCCTGACACTCTAGAGAGCCGGGCACTGTCCTTGGGCTCAAGAACAAATACTACGTCAGCTGCTGTGTAAAAGCTTGGGCCTCAAAAGCAGCGTGACCTTGGGCAGGTTCCTGAAGGTCTTCCAGCCCTTTCTTCCTCCCTCACCTGGAATACATGCACCTTACCTGGCTCAGAATGTTCAGCACAGGGTACCTGCTGCATCAAATTAGAGGCTAAGCCCATCTCCTTAGGGACTGCACCCCAAAGCTTGCTGACTTCTTCTCCCACTGCCCTCAGGGTGCCCACCTGTGCCACTCTGTCCCAACAGGCCTCCACACCCCACAAAATATTAGAGGCACACGCCCAGCGCACCCACACCCCCTGCTGCCCCCATGTCATGGTCAGAAGTAAAAGGTCTTTATTGTTCTACAGACACTCCTGAAGAGATCTACTTGAGAAAATATACAAAGGTTTCCATTTTATCTCTAGGGAGCATCCAAGTCTGACGGAGGAGGCGGCGAGCCCTCCTCTGCAGGCCCAGCTCCACCAGGTTCACAGGGACCAGCAGGAAAACATGCAAAGGGAGGGAGAGAAGGAACAACGCTGCATCCCCCGAGAGCAAAGGGGGCGAATCTCAGAACAGAGGGGAGGCAGGGTTTACACGTACCAGGTGGCTCTCCCTTTACCCCCAACTGATCTTGAAAAACAAACGAAGCTAGGACAGCAATAAACTCAACCCACCTGGCCGAACACAGCTCACTTCTGCTGAAAGCGCAGCCTCAGGGCTGTCTGGACAGATCCAGAAGGGACCCTCCTCAGCCTGCCCCACTGCAGGCCCCTCTGTGGCTTTAGCCGTGGCTGTAGGGGACCCCGCTTCTGTTCCTCACATCTTTGGTTCCACTTGGAGAATGATTGTGCTTGAGTCTCATCCCCACCCCCCCAAGCCCCAGGCCCCTGTTGGTGGGCGAAGGCACTGAGGGAGGCCTGGTAACTCCAGGACAGTTACCTTGTGCTCTGGGTGGGCCCAGCCCTGGTACCCTCCCCCTCCTCAGCTCAAGTTCCAGGCTGAGGAATCGGGGCCCCAGGAGGGGTGGTCCCATAAATGAGTATGTCTTACAGGCCCATCCCCCCATACAAGTTATTCCTGACCTCATCCACCACTCTACCCCATCCAACCTCTTGCCCAATATCCTCACCTGCCCTCCCTCCCCACACCTAGAGGTCAGCAGAGGTGGCACGCGCTGGTACGGGAAGGTGGGGCAGAGTCAAAAAGCAATGTCAAGACACGTCACATCTAAAGAAAGGTGTCCAGGATACAAGCTAAGCAAGAGGAGAGGAGGTGGTCGGAGAGAGGGCTAAAGAAAGAGGACAGGGGTGGGTGGGGCTGGGAGGGCAGCATCACACCACCCCGCAGATACGCGTCTCCACCACGAAGGTGTTCTCGAAGTGGCGGATGGCGCTGCAGTTCTTGGCTCCTCGCTTGGTGATCCCTGGGTGGGTACAGAGAAATCCGTGTGAGACACAGGGTTGGGCCCAGGAAGTTTTGCAGAGAAGGCTGGGAACTCAGGCACCCGTGAGACCCACGTGGCTTGGCCACCTCCCACTGAGAGACCCTGAATGTGTCAGAGTAGAACTGTGATCATGGGGTTTTCAGTGGCTGATTGCTCTGACGTAGATCTCCAGGTTTTTCTTCTGAGGCACCTCTGAATGAACTCCAACCTCCAACCTTTCGCTTAGCAGCTGGCTGTGTTAACCTTTGGCACCACCCAGGACCTTAGGGTGTGCCTCAGTTTCCTCACTTGTAGAAGGGGTAACAGCTAGTGTTGGGGGTCTCTGGGTTGAGAGGCGCTGCCCAGGGAAAGCTCAGGGTGGGGTGTGACTCACGTCTCTGAGTGGCGCGACGTCGCAGCCGGTAGGTGTCCTTCCCACTGCACAGGTGGTAGATGAAGGAGCCCAGCGCCTCCTTGTCGTTGACGTGCTCTGTGACCACCATTTCCTCCTGGATGATGTACGTCTGAGGCAGGTAGGTCCCTCTCTGCAAAGGGAGAGGCACCGCTCAGCACCTGTAGTCTCCCCGCCTGCAGTCCCCAGCTGAGATCCGCCCACTGCCAGCCCAGCCCCCACCTAGAGCCCCCAGGAGCCAGCTCCAATTGGGCTCGAGCCTGCACTGCTGTGGGTTGCAGCCGGGCTGCAGGTCTGGTCCAGGTGTCAGCAATGTGCTGGGGCTCCACAGGAACGTCCTATGCATACCCCAGGTCTGGCCCTCTGAGTCCCAGCCCACCTTCACGTTCATGAGCAGCTCCCAGAAGTTTCGAGGGGGCAGCACGATGGTGGTGTTGAGCTCGATGACGTAACACTTGTCCAGTGAGATGTCGTGGTATGCGGTCAGGCCCTGTAGGACAAGGGCCAGGTGGCGGTCACACTCGCAGGCCAGAGTCTGACCCAGAGAGGCCCCGGCCAACATACCATCCCTGGCCGGGGTCTTCTGGGTGAGATGCACCCAGACTCCTCAACACCTGAGCAAACTCCACCCTTTCTAGCTCCTCCCCTAGCTAGTTTGCAAGAGGTGCCAGTAACATGAAAACCAACAACTGTCTTACAGATTCTTCTCACAGGCCCACCTCAAACAAGTGAATATAGAAACAAAGTGAATCACACACTTTTTGGGTCGGAAGTGCACATAAAACTTGACACTAGACTGTAATCTAGTAAGTGTACATGTTGTTGTTGCTCTTGTTGTTGTTTAGTGCCGTCGAGTCAGTTCCGACCCATAGCGACCCTGTACAGGGTTTCCGAGGGTGTAAATCTTTACGGGAGTAGAAAGCCTCATCTTTCTCCCGCGGAGCGACTGGTAGTTTCGAACCGCTGACCTTAAGGTTTGCAGCCCGATTCGTAACCACTACGCTACCAGAGCTCTTAGGTGCCATCAAATTGGTTGCCACCCTGTATAGGGTTCCGAGGAGGAGCTGGTGAGCTTGAACTGCCGACCTTGTGGTTCAAACCAACGTTGCAGTCCAGCACATTAACCTACAGCGCCACATTAAGTGTGCAGAGTGTTACAGTAAAAGTGAAATAGTGTGAGAATTCCCAAAATGTGGCAGAGACACGACATGAGCACAGCTGGCTGGAAAAATGGCACCAACAGACTTACTGGGTCCAGGGTGGCCACCAAACTGCAATTTCTAAGAAATGCAGCACCTATGAAGCACAATCAAATGAGATCTACCTGCCAAGTTGGGTTCTGGGGAATTCTTTAGTGTCCCAGCTATGCACCCCACCAAGCCTGTGAAGTCTAGCGGCCTCTCGGAAAAACCTGACCCCTCAGTGAGATGTGTCACCCCAGGCCCTCTGTGGATTTCTGCTGCAGGGACAGCATGAGGCTTCGGGGGGCTAGGGCTGGGGAGAGTGAACCGGGTGCCTACATTCCAGGGGCCTGGAACAGCAGAAGTGAGAGGGCTGTTTACCACTGGGTGGGTGCTGGCTGGGGAGGGGCATGAGGGAATCTTCTGGAGAGCTGTCAGCATTCTAGAACTTCACCTGGGTAACATTAATGTATTTAAAAAGAAAAAAAAAAAGCCAAACTTATTTCTGTAGAATTGATGTCCACTCAGTGATCCCACGTGACTGAGTAGAACTGTCCATAGCTTCTTCTTGGCTATAATCTTGGTGCTGGAGGGTAAGCACTGGGCTGCAAGGTCTGTTTGAATCACAAGGTTGGTGGTTTAACCTCACCAGCTGCTCCTCGGAAACTCCATACAGGGTTGCTGTGAGTTGGAACTGACGGCATGGTGCGTAACAACAACAATCTTTATGGAAGGTCACCAGACATTTCTGCCATATTGCCACTGAGTGAGTTCACACTGCTAGCTTTTCAGTTCGTAAGTGAATGCAGCTGTGAATGTGGACGGACCTATGTAAAAACCCAGTCGGCTGTACCTTTAGTTAAGTGCACTGAATGGTGTGTTGACTACGCTTCAATAAAATGTGAAAGCAGACCCAGAAAACCTTTGCCTATCCCAGTGTCTGAAGCTGCCAGGTGGCTGAGGAGAAAATTCAACCCTTTTTGATTCAGAAATTCAGACTCAATAGTGACTGTGTTATGCACCATCAGAGCAGTATCCTCAACAACCAGGGACACTCTCCACACCCAGCTGACCCTGACGCAGAGACGCAGTAGGCACACAGTGGACGGTGGCTCTGGTATCCCGACTCCCCACCACCCATGACTGGCCTCACCCTTTGGAAGTCGTGGATGATGTCCGCTGGGTCGCCGCCCCCGAACTGGGGCACAGGGACGTTGATGCGCTCGTAGTTCTCCTCCAGGTAGATCTTCACGTCTTCCTCCAGCTCCATCCGAGCGGGCATCTGAGCCGACAGAGGGTCCTCGTAGAACACACCGCAGTGGAAGAAGTTATCCCGGGCCAGCTGCGCAGTGGGGAGACAGAGGCACAGGGCACTCTCAGTACCTCTACTGCCATCCAGAAGTCAGGAGAGTGAGAACGATAAACCCATTTCACAGATGCGTAAACTTGAGACTCATGGGAGGAGTCAGGTCAGGGCAGGTAGAGAAATGAGCTGGGCTGTGAACAAGGAAGCCATTTCACAACTTGGGAGACAGAGAGGGACAGGTCTGCCAGTTCCTTGGTGAATGACCTTGCTGGGCCTCAGTTTCCCCATGAGGAAAGCAAGACGATGATCTCAAAGGTTCCTTCCAGCCTGCATGACTGAGGAATGGGGTGTGTCCCGTTCCCTCCAGACAGTGGGGAGGAAACAGCAGGTGTTGGCAGGCTGACCACTTTAACAGGCTGGCTAAAGCCCTGCAGGGAGGCCTCCCGCCACCAGGGGGCGTCCCCCTGCCTTCCTGCTGCCTAGGAACCCTAGAGACGTAGGAGCTGAAAAGGTCCAGATTCACTCTGTCCCTGCACTTTTCCTGGACCCCTGAACCACATGACACCTAGACAAACACTGTGTCCGCTGCCCCATCTGACCACCATCCAGTCACCTTGCGTGAGACAGATGGGATGTGATGATGCTGGGTTAATCACCCAGCCTGCCCACGCTGATGCTCCCGGGAGTCCTCTAGATGGATTCATGCTCAGGACAAGACTGGCCTGTGACGAGCAGAATTCCCTTTCCTTTCTCAGTGTCAGCTCTCTGGAGGGTGGTTCCTGAGGGTACCAGGAGAACCAGGTGCAGTGGTACTGCAGGACCGGCCCCAGGCCAGAGCTGCTCTGAGGGGTGGGAGCTTGGGAAACCAGGAAGAGCCACTGTGGGTCCTGTGGTTGTCCCATCTTAAACAGGAGAAGCAAAGTAGGCTGAGGTTGGGGAGAAAGAACAAAGGAGGAAGAGAGGTTTCAAGAAAGTCCCGTGAAATAACAAATGCTCCAGGAATTTCCAGTCTGGAAAAACCCGGGACAACAAAGTTAGGGCCCTAAAGCTTGAGGGTAGGAATAGGCCACCGGTGGCTGGCAATGCCCAGCCGCATCATCACTCGCGAGTCCTAATCTTGGCAATGAAGGCTGTTGGAGTTCCAGTTGACTCCTTTAAGTAATTTTTAGCTACCTTCCTTCCGTTTGGAGACCACAGTGGCTGCTCCTGGCAATCAGACTAGTTCTTTCACCACATTTCCTGCCCCAGCCTTGCTGTGAGCAGAGGATCAGGTGGAGAGGAGGCATCCTCTCCCGTTCACCTCCACTCCTCACCGGAGGCGGAGGGATCTCTTCTCTGGCAGCTACCCGCCACCTGTCTACTCAAGATGGGACTGGTGGGCGGGGCGGGGCTGGTGACAGCAGCTTCTCCTTTTCCTGTTCTGAGTTTCTAGGTGCTGGGGCCCAGCCACACGGCCCACTCGAACTCTGGCTCTTCCCCATGACTGTGGGCCCCTGGGAGGGCACCTGTGTATCTCCGTTTTATCTGTAGAAATGGGGTGATGGCATGTCCAGTTTGTCTCCACTCACCTGAGCTCCCCATCTTCTGAGGCAAAGGCTGGGCGCCCAAGGACTTGGGGCTGAGAGGGCTCCCAGAGAGAAGCTGGTCTCTGGGGCTTGCCTGGGTACTTACTCACCCAAGGAGCACTTCACTGCTCCACACCCAGGACAACCCCCCCACCTCCCCAACCTGGCTCACAGGTGCTGGCCACCCACCCGCAGAGCCCTCACCTGGGCCAGGAAGAAGTATCTGTAGATGTAGACAGAGGCAAACACCAGGCCTGTGAGCAGTACGACCATGCCCATCGACAGGTAGCACACGCTGCCCACGGAGCCGCCCTTCTTGTAGCGGGGCTGGGGCGGCCGCTCCTCCTGTGGATACAGTACAGGGTCAGCCAGGCCCAAAGAGAATGGAACCACAGTACATGACTGTAGCAAGTAAAGGCGGCCATCTGAGTTTCCCCAGATTCCTCCTTTGAAAGAAAAATTGAGACCCACCTAATGCCACACAAAGTAATCAGCTGGGATTAAGCTGAATTTTCCAGTTAAACCTGTGTTATCTCCTGGAGTCCTGGTGTGGCGCTGTGGGTTAATGCGCCAGACTGCAAAGCCATTTGAACTGCAATGTCGGCGGTTCAAGCTCACCAGCTGCTCCTCAAAAACCCTATACAGGGTCCCTGTGGGTCAGAACCGACTCGACGACACTTCACAACATCAGTCTTCTGAAGTCCTGGTGTGGCACAGTGGGTTAATGCACTGGACTGCAAAGTTGGTTTGAACAGTAAGGTTGGCAGTTCAAGCTCACCAGCAGCTACTCAGAATCCCTATATAGGGTCTCTATGAGTCGATGCATTTAATAATAACATCAATCTCCTGGACTCCTGGTGTGGCCCTGTAGGATCAGCATTGGATTTCGAATCACAAAGTTGGCAGTTCAAACCCACCAAGCTGCACCTCGGACACCTACGTAGCGTCATTAAGAGCTGGAACCAACGTGACAGCGCTTAACAGCAGTCTCCTTATTATGCCAGCTTTTCCTAAGTCGCAGAAAGCTTCTTTCAAACATAAAATGGGGGCAAGTCCGGATATTCTGTTGTTGTTGTTGTTGTTAAGTGCCATCGAGTCGGGTCCGACCCATAGCGACCCTGTACAGGGTTTCCAAGGGTGTAAATCTTTACGGGAGTAGAAAGCCTCATCTTTCTCCCGCGGAGCAGCTGGTAGTTTCGAACCGCTGACCTTAAGGTTCACAGCCCGATTCGTAACCACTACGCTACCAGAGCTCTGTATGTTGAGCAAATAATCCAAGAAGCTGGAGTATATGAAGAAAAAGTGGCATCCAGCTCGGAGACAGGCTGATGAACAACCTGCGATATGCAGATGATATAACCTTGCTTGCTTAAGGCCAAAGACCACAGCTTTCCGTTTGGATTACACCTCAATGTAAAGAAAACAGAAATCCGCACAGCTGGGTCAATATAAACAGAGAAAGTCCTGAAGTTGTCCAAGACTTCATTTTACTTGGATACACACTCAACACTCATAGAAGCAGCAGTCAAGAAATCAAATATATTGCAATGGTTATGTTTGCTGCTGCTGCAAAAAATGCTAAAGATTAAAGATGTCACTTTGAGGACTAAGACGCTCCTGACCAAGCATGGGGTTTTCAATTGCCTCGTATTCATGGGAGAACTGGAAACTGAATAAGAAAGACTGAAGAATTGGTGCCTTTGAATTATGGTGTTGGCGAAGACTATTAAATAGTCCGTGTACTGCCAAAAGATTGAACTAGTGTGTCTTGTAAGGATTACAGCCAGCATGCTCTTTAGAAGCGAGGATGGTGAGACTCTGTCTCTTGTACTTTGGCATGTTATCGAAGGGACCAGTGCCTGGAGCAGGTAAAGGAGAGGGTTATTGACAAAGAGGAAGACAGTCCCCCACCCCTAGCCCAGCACAACAATGTGTTCAAACAGGATGATTGTGAGGAAACACTCAGTCTTCCTCTCCATTATATCTGGGGTCACTGAGTTAGGGCTGACTCGATGATACCCAACAACAGATACCAGCTGAGATTGCTCCAGACCTCAGCATCTGTAAGGACTGGAATGCACTGGGCAGGCCTGGGAGCCACCACTCAGAGCAGTAGGGAGACAGAGAAGATACTGAATACTGAACACGGGGTGTTGACAGTTATACCCTAATGCTCAGTGTACAGTACGGATAGGGATGGGGGCAGTGGAGTCGTGGAGGTCATGATGGGACATATAGGAGGCTGGCTTTTGGGGACAGTGGCTCCAAGAGTTTGTCTTTGGTTGGGCAGCACTGGACCTTCAGTCCTACTGAGTACAGGGCCCAGAGAGGGACAGCAGCAGCCCTGGCCAGGCCTCAGCTGGAAGCAGGCTGTGAGAAGCGACGTTTTTGGGAGGGAGCACACCATCAACACTTGGGGCAGCGGGCACAAAGGGATCCTGGGAAACTTGTGGAGTCAGGGGACTCTGGCTCAGGTCCGCAGGCACAGAAGCTGCTGGGAAACACAAATCCACTGGACTCCAACTGCTGTGTTCAGAATGTCACTGAAGGTGTGAGCGGGTGTAACCCAGCAGGCTGAGAGGCAGTGACTTTGGCCATCTGCAACCCTCCTTCTCCCCTCAGAGAGATCTGTAAAAGCCTCCGTCTACCTCTGCTCTCACTGTCTGAGCCTCTGCAGGCGGGATCTTTCCCCTCAATCACATGGGGGTCAGCTCAGCATCCTAGGCTGGCTGCCCCCCAGACACTGGCCGCACTGATACATGGCAGTGACCTACAAGGTCTTCAGGGACAGGGTGGTCTACACAGAACAAGCCATCCCAGGTCCTGTTAATGTGGGGAACCAGTGCCTCAGGAAAAGTCACCTCCACCAGGGAGCCTGGCCTCAGGTCTCCAGCAGGAATTTTACTGAGGGGTCAGGGTGGTGGTGGCTCCAGGAATCCAGTGCTGAGAAGGGCCAGGGCCTAGATCCAACCTGGGAGAATTTTAACCTCCCCTCCGGGGCTTCTCCTAGAGAAGTTGGGCTGATGCTTTTTTACAGGGCTTTTGTTGGGGTTAAAAGAGACAAGGAACCCAGAAGCCCTTTGTAAAGGATAAAGTGCTAGATAAATATAGCAGATGTTTATCAGCCCAGCTCCTGGAAAACCAGAGCTGCGAGCTGAGGAAGAAGTAAGTGGGCTGCAAAGTGAGCCCCTGAAGGCCTGCTTCACAGACCAGGTGAGACATACTTCAAAACCCAGTCGAGACCTTTGGGACCACGTGAGACCTCTAGCTTCACAACTACCTCTCCGTTTCTGCTCCATTTCCTCTTGCTGGACGCAGGATCTCTAGAGAGCTGGGGGAGGAACTGGGAGAAAAAAGTAGAGGACAGCTAGTGGGAGGCATCTTGGGGGAAGAGGTAGGGCTTGAGGGACCAGTGAAGGGTGGTCAAGTGTGGCAGGCAAGAGCCCCTGGATGTGCCCTGTGAAGGTGGGGGACCCCCACATCACCTAGACTTTTGGTGACAGACTCAATGTCATGTCCAATATATGACCCCCTTGCCCTGTTAATACCATGTTAGCTAGAAGATTCAAGGCTGAAAAGCAGAGCGAGGGCAGGCAAGCCCAGAGGGTACAGGGAAACTGCGGGGTCTCTGATTTTGACCTAGAGCCCGGAGTCCCACTCCACCCCCACCTTTGTCTATAAGGGCCCAGCAGCATATAACCAACACCAGGGCTTATGTGCTGGATCCGCCTCCCTCCTCCCCCCCGCAACCCGACCCTGGCACAATGCAGCCTGCACACCTCAGTGTCTTTATGTTCACCCATCCTGAGGTGTCCAGTCAGCCTGACCGACTCCTGAGGAAAGTGGGTCAGGCCTGCTGCTTCCCTGTGGAGTTCCAGGACACCTGGGCCACCAGGAAGCAGCACTACTGGCAGGCATTTGTTGTTGTTGTTAAGTGCCGTCAAGTCGATTCCGACCCATAGCAACCCTGTATAGGGTTTCCAAGGAGCAGCTAGTGAGCTTGAACCGCTGACCTTGCAGTTCAAACAGCTTTGCAGTCTGGCACATTAACCCACAGTGCCACCCCAGGACTCCGCCAGGCCTTTGAGGGGCTTTAGTTAGAGGAAATGGTGGCACACTGTTTCCAAGGCAACTTGGCTTTCAGTGCAAAAAGCGTCTGGACCTCAGGGCCCCCAGCTCTGAGCTCATGACGTGCGTTAGTAAAGTCAGGGTACACACTGTCCAGGAAGCTGCCAGCTCCAGCATGAACTAGCAGACCCCAGGGCTCAGGAGAGAACTTCTGGGCTACACTCCAGTTGCAGAAACCCTAGAGGAGCCCCGGCTGGCTGGGGACTGGTGTCGGTGTCGGCATCACTGTCACTGTGGTCCTCAGCATCTCTGTCTGCCAGGCCCCTGCACAACGGGCACAGTGGTGGGAGCGTGGGACAGATGGACAGAGGGCTAGGAGAGGGGCAGAGGACTGCAGGCCAGTGTGCTTTGTTCCAGATCCCAGACATTCCCCAGGCAACCTCTGACATGGGTCATGGGTTGGCCATAGTGGGATCTGCACTTCGACCCCCACCAGTGCAGGAAGTGTGCTGGCCCTCGGCTGGCCCAGTGTCCACACAGCATGCAGCTTTGTGAGGACAGCTTGGGCCTGCAGCTGTCTTGGCTGGGTGGCAGATTCTCTCTTCTCTTCCAGAGAACAAAGGCTCAGGAAGGACTCAAAGGTAAAGTCGATGCTGGAAAAGATTCCAGAAGGGGACAGGGGGAAGAGGTGGAGAGCTTCGCTTTGGGGAGTTTATGAGAAAACATTTCTTCCCCTAAGAGACACTCCTGCTCCCTGCTCTGGTACAGACAGTCCTGAAGCATACTGGGAAGACAGAGGCAAAGAAGAGAAAACCCTGAAAAGCCCCTACTCCTAGAAGGACCCAGAGTAGAGCCACCTAAAAACCAAAGTCGTCCCACTCTAGCCCTGAGGGGTGGGGAGCGAGCAACAATGTTCCTGAAGCCCCAGCTCCCAAAAAAGAGCTGGAGCCAGGACACTCAGGGAAGGTGTAACCTGACCCCAGGTATGTGTGTGGTGGGGGAGGGGAGGCAGGGGCCCTGAATCTAAGGCAAATGCCAGGGAGAAAATTCCAGAGGCCAGGAAAGGACTCTATTTAACTGTGTCTTGAAGCACCAGGCCCAAGTATCTGTATGCACCCACCTTTGCCTGTGTGTGTGTGGCAGGGCACCTGGCTAATGAGCACTGTGGACTGGGTTCCCTTCCACCCACTTTCCAGCCCCCATCCCCATCAGCATGCCATAACTGGAGCCAGAGTACCATGTGGGGAAGCCAGGCAACTGGAGACCACTGTATCCCATCAAATGGGGCAGAATCTGAACTCAGTGCTTCAATAAAGACCTCCCTGCTGGCCGCACTCATGGCTGATGCTCTGGCTTGAGCTAGTTCTGGGAGATGACCCGCTAAGGAAACAGCAGAGGGGACGGCAGCTCTAGACAATGAGGACATGTGCCCGTGGGCTCCCAGAAGTCCACTGCCTTACCAAGGCTCCAACAGACAACAAGCAATACTGACCCCTCACACACACACACACACACACCATGGGGTTCACCAACCAGCACTGGGGCTGACAGGTGCCCCAATTGGACAGCTCCTGGCTGCTCCCTGCCCAGCTGAGCAGGTTCCTGGCCATCCCAAACAGTTCACAGAAACATGTTGATGTTTCCATTCCTGCTGGGGTACCAGGAAAGAGGGAGCCAAGTCAGTTACTGCCACCACCTGACACCCAACAGGCTGCTATGCTGAGAATATACCACGCCTGCAAAATTTCAAGGACCTTCTGATGGCGTCCTCTCCCTGTTCCTCTCTAAATCCTACTACTCTCTGTCTGGCCCAGGGGTTCTGGGCTCCAGGACTCGGCTGGGCTCAGCTGGAGAAGCAGCTGGAAGAAAGTGGGGGCCGAAACCATGCTCTCTGCCAGCACCCCCTCCCCACCATCTGTAAAGACAGGCAAGAGGTTTGCTGTGGAACAGGTCTTCAAAACGGAACAAAGCCCTCCCCTTCTAACAGCAGATACAGGTGGAGCTACACAGGCGGGGTGCATCCTCCCAGCCTGGTGATGATGGGTGCGTTCTTGTAGCTGTGGGCAGTCCCTTACTGCAGTGACCACAAAAGTGGAGGTGAGCTCGGCCGGCCGAGACCCTGGAATTCTTTGCTGGGACACCGTCTCTCCAGCGCCCCCGCCTCCAGGCCCTGGAAGGCAGCGCGCAGTCCAGTAATACCCGCACCAGGCGGAGTCTGAGCCACATCACTTGGGGGAGGGGGCGAAGCTCCGCGGAACACTCCTCAGAAGCTGGTCTTGGAAAGGCGGGGGAAAGTGGACAAAGACTTTTCCAAGTCCTGCCTTGACTGGGGAGATGGGGCTCGGGGCACCCCAAGATCGCCAGGGATAGCGGGCCAAGAGACGCTTTTGAAAGAATACCTAAAGGCTGGTGGGGCCAGGCTCCCTCCTCAAGTCCTGCACCCTCCGGGGTACAGCCCACGCAGCTCATTTCCATGGCCTTCCCCCTGTCCCCACCCCCGGGCGGAGGGGTTGGGTGGGGGACTAGGGCTGGGCCTCCCCCACAAAGCCCACCCCGAAAAGGACACCGGTGGGGGGTCCGCAGAGGTTGACGGCACAGCGGGTGGAAGAGGGAGGGGCGC